CCCTACACGTAACCGACCCCCGAACCTAATTCTGGTTATCAAGGCCATTATTGGATTTTAAAAAACCTTTTCTTTTTTCAATGTTTTGAGTAAAACATTGGTGGTGACTCCATGAACTTATTTTTCAAAATCATTAATTAAGGATTAGTATGGTGTTCGGGCATTCCTTAATTGATGAGATTTTTAAAAGGATGTCTAAACCATTAGTTGCGAGATCGAAAAAATTTGGGTTGTGACAGATGGCGACTCTACTGAGGACGTTTTAAGAGGGTCAGGCCCATATAAATGACGAAATTAGCATTATAAAAAATAATAATTTAAATATTTTTCCCCTTTATTTTATTTGTTTTATTTGTTTGGCTTTTATATCTGTTTGCCTGTTTAAATTCTGCATTTATTTGAATAAAATTGTACACAATCATTTGCACACGATAGTTTCCCCTAAAAGAGTAGTTCTTAAAATTTTCACAAATCTTTTCTTAAAACAAGTTTTAAGTGTTAGATAAATGTTTCGACTTAGCTTGAAAGAATTTTTACAAACATTTATATTTATAAAACCAAAAAATATAAGTTACGATATCAACTTCCCTAATTAATAATCAAATAAAATAGATAAGTGATAAAGAGACATCACATTAAGGATTTTATGTCTAGTCCTTGAATACTCACCTAGAATTTCACTAAAACTAAAATACTCTAAAGTTTCAAATTATTACAAGTATTTTTACCAATTTTCTTCTAACTCAAATATTCTTTGAAGTCTCTTTTGGCAAGTACAACAAATATTCTTTGTTCACCAAGCTTTTTTTAGGATGTATGCAAATCTCTTAGATATACTTAAAGAGTAGTCACTAGATTATGGTCTTATATGAAAGATGAGAAATAAATAACCTATACACACATAATTTTGCAAGTTACAAAGTTCACTTTCTCTGATTCCCAGGCTTACAGTCTTTGTAAATTGTCTTTTTCTGAACCTTTTTATATTGAGCTTAGATATGTCCATTGTAGTCCATTGGATCTCACTTGTAGTTTCTTCATAAACTTGAATGTTGGTGCATTTAATGTTGCATTAAATGTCTTTCATTTTCAAATAGTGACTAAGGATTTTGATATAGCATTTGTCCTTTTTCCTTTTACTAGCAATGTATAGCAACTTGATACAACATTTTTTTTTTGTGGTACTAGCATTGTTTAACACAAGTCATGATTATCTTCATTTTTCTGAACCAAGTACTTTGTCAACACTATTTGCGTTGCCTAGTCTATTATTTTATGATTTAATATGTGAGGCCTTTTTTTGTTTTGGTTCAGCTTTCCTAGTTGGACTTGGATCCGTAGCTACCCATCCTAATTGGGCTCAATCATGAGAGGTTAAATACAGAACCCAATGAAACGGCCCAAGTAGGCTTATTTGCGCACGTGCGTATTGACGCCGGAGAAAAACAAAACAAAACCCTGCAACTCAAAATCTCAATAGAAGAAGAAGAAGAAGATAGCCATTGATGCGCACTCTCCCACACTCCTTCACCTCTCTCCTTCAATCATGCAAAACCCTGAAGCAAGCAAAGAAGCTCCACGCTCTCATTCTCCTCACAGCCTCACACCACAACCCTTTCTTCATAACGAAGCTAACCCAAATCTACGCCGATTGCGACGACCTCCGCTCCGCCCTCGCCCTCACCCTCCTCCGCCCCAACGTCTTCGCCTTCACCGCCATCCTCTACTTCCACTCCCGCCACGCCCACGCGCACCAATGCATCCTAACCTACGCGCGTCTCCGCCAAAACGCCGTCGTTCCGGACAACTACGTCTTCCCCAAGGTCCTCAAGGCGTGCGCCAAGTTGTCACTCTTCGTAACCGGCACTGTCATCCACAAAGATGTTGTCGCATTCGGGTCGGAGTCCAACGTGCATGTTCGCAACTCCTTGTTGGGTATGTATGCGAAGTGCGGGGATATGGCGAGTGCGGAGAGGGTGTTCGGTGAAATGCCTCAAAGGGATGTTTTTTCGTGGAATTCCGTGATGTCGGGTTATGTGTGTAATGGGTTGCCGGATAGGGCTGTGGAGGTGTTTGGGGTTATGAAAGAGGAATGTCAACCGGATGTGGTCACGTGGAACACGCTGATGGATGCTTATTGTAAGATGGGGCTGTGCTGTGAGGCTGCAAGGGTTTTCGGAGAGATTGAAGTTCCTAATGTGATTTCGTGGACGATTTTGATCTCGGGTTATGGTAGTGTTGGGAGGCATGGTGTTTGTTTGGAGATTTTTAGGGAAATGGTGAGTGTGGGGAGGGTTTTACCTGATGTGGATGCTCTTTCTTGTGTGCTTGTGTCGTGCAGGTTTCTTGGGGATTTGGCTAGTGGGAGGGAGATTCATGGCTATGGCCTGAAAATCATGTGTGGGGATGTGTTTTACAGGTCTGCTGGTGCTGCGTTGTTGACGTTGTATGCCGGTTGCGGCAGAGTCGATCGTGCTTATAGCGTGTTTCGTGGGATGGATAAGGGTGATGTTGTTACGTGGAATGCGATGATTTTTGGTTTGGTGGATGCGGGGTTGGGGCATTTGGCGCTTGAGTGTTTCAGAGAAATGCAGGGGAGAGGAGTGGAGATTGATGGCACCACTGTGTCCACTATACTGCCTGTTTGTGATTTGAGACGTGGGAAACAGTTACATGCTTATGTTAGCAAGTGGAATTTCAGTTGTGGGGTTCCGGTTTTTAATGCGCTTGTTCATATGTATTCGATCCGTGGATGCATTGTGTATGCACATTCTGTGTTTTCCATGATGGAGAACAAGGACTTGGTTTCGTGGAATACGATTATTGGAGGATATGGAACGCATGGGCTTGGCCAGACTGCTTTGAAGCTTTTGCAGGAGATGAGTGGTTCGGGCATTAGGCCTGATTTGGTGACTTTTTCTTGTGCACTTTCGGCTTGTAGTCATTCAGGACTTGTGGATGAAGGGATTGAACTTTTCTACAGAATGACACAGGATTTTGGCTTGATACCAGTGAGGGAACACTTTTCTTGTGTGGTTGACATGTTGGCCCGTGCAGGTAGGCTTGAAGATGCTTTTGATTTCATTAACCAAATGCCACAGGAGCCGGATAAACATGTTTGGGGAGCTTTACTTGCTGCATGCCAAGAGCACCAAAATGTTAGTGTTGGAAAGCTGGCTGCAGAAAAGTTGATCAGTTTGGAACCGCGTGAAGCTGGCCATTATGTGACACTGTCAAATATATACTCGAGAGCTGGAAGATGGGATGATGCTGCAAGAGTAAGGAAGATGATGGATGGCCATGGATTGCTGAAGCCATCAGGACTTAGTTTGGTTGGTACCGGAAGTTAGCCTAGAGACAAAGACAACAATATGATCAAGACCATATTTTGATCATACTTCAAAAATTCTACTTACCATGCATTGTCAATTTTGCACCAAGAGTTAAGAGGTGTGCAACTATGTGTTGAAGTTGCCCGTTGAGCCAGGAATATTCATAATACCCCAAGCAGGATTAGACTCTGGCTAGTAGACAAGAAAATACCTTAGCAGCACAAAAAAATGTATTGAAGTTGCCTTGGGATGGGATGAGACATTGTTCAGTGTTAGAAGAATTAGCTTTCACGACAAAGGCAAACCATAGTACTTACAGATGATAAACAAGTACATAAGTGCTGTGTCAAGAACATCGTGGAGGCAAATAAAACTTGCCAAGGCATAAAAGAGTTGAGACAGCTAAAAGGTAACCAAATCTAGCTTAAATTGGCTAAATGATCCTATAATTTATATAATTTTAACTCCAAGAATGCATTTCAATGATCAATTAGGAGGTTATAAGAAACAGATGGACACAAATTGAAGAGAGGAACCCAATAGGTCTAATAGTGAGTTGTACTGAAGAAAACTACGCACTTGGAGGTGCAAATATATCAGCATAACTGCCTGATTTGGGTAACAAGTGCTATCGTGGCAGAAAATTAAAGCATACTACCTGTTTGTAAAGTGTCTGGCAGAAAATTACAGCATACTACCTATTTGTAAAGTGTGTGGCAGAAAATTACAGCATACTACCTATTTGTAAAGTGTGTGGCAGAAAATTACAGCATACTACCTATTTGTAAAGTGTGTGGCAGAAAATTACAGCATACTACCTATTTGTAAAGTGTGAAACGAAGCTAAAATTTTGACAAATAAAAGAACAGGATGCATGTTAGTGATTTAGGATTTCTCAATAACTAGAGGGACAAGGTTTCTAGTTTGGAAATCAAGAAGTTAAAGAGAACCTAATCCTCGAGAGGTTACTAAATTTGTTCATTCTTTCTTTATTGATTTTCTTCTTAGATCACTAAACCTTAGGGTTTCTCAATAACTACATGGACAAGGTTTCTAGTTTGGAGATCAAGAAGTTAAAGGGAACTTAATCCTTGAGAGTTTACTCAATTTGTTCATTCTTTCTTCTTTGATTTTCTTCTTAGATCAGTAAACCTTAGTATGAATAAATTACATTTTTCTGGACTTGTTGATTAACCGATGGAATATGACGATGGATATCTCTGAATAAAATTTTTCATAAATATTTATAGGAGAAAAAATAAAATAATATTTTTCTAAAAACTAAAATGTATTTTTTGTTTAAGTTCATTTGTAAAAAAAAATCCATATTAATTTTTTAGAAGTTAATTTTTAATTTAAGTTTATTCTATCTTTTATTTTCTTGAAGATGTTTATTCAAACAAATGCATGTTAGCTTTGCATAATTAAAGAACTTGTGCTAAATAGGGGATGTTCGACACAGTGGGTGTGACTCAAGTTAACAATTCACCTTGAGCTTGTTACAACACCCTGTTTTATAAAATCTATAACTACTAATAATAAAGGAAATAAGTTGTTTTTTTGTCTATATATTTTTGAAAATTTTTATTTTTTAACTAATATTTAGGACCACCACATGACTATAAAGTTAGTACAACCAGGGATGGACCCTGCCCCCCCTCCCCCTCAAAAATTTGATTTTTTTTATAATAGTAAATATATGATAAATTTAAATTTAAAATTGTTAAAAATGAATTTAATTTTAAAAAAATATGAAAAAATTTCATTAGACTTGTCCAGTTTCAATAGGACTTTTATTTCTTATAAACTTTAATTAATGTATTATATTATTTAAAATTAAATATCTATATAATTATAAAAGTAGGAAACAAAAATTTGGTCCCTCCTATGTTTGGTCTCGAGTCTTTTCAATTGGGCTTGTATTTCTTAGAAACTTTAATCAATGTATTACATTATTTAAAATTAAATATCTATATAATTATAAAAGTAGGGAGAAAAATTTTGGCCCCTCTTATGTTTGGTTGCTTGATCCGTTCGTGACTACAACCACCCTCAGTTCATACAATCTCTCTCTCTCACTCACTTTATTGTTTTATTAAATAAAAATCACATAGTTCACCAACTTTTTTATTTAGCCTTTTTACCTATTTTTCTTTTGTGTAAACCAACCACTAAAATATTTTTTAAAATAAATATATAAAGACATGAAATCTCTCTTTTATATTTGTGTTTATTTTTAGCTTTGACTTAAAAGTTACTTTTGAGTGAAAAAAATTTGGGTGAAACATACTCTTCCTCAATCTTTTAAATATATATATTTTATTGTGACTACTTAAAAGATGAACATATATTAACTTTCATGGTGGTGATAAAATTGAAGATAAACATATAAAATAATATAAAAGGACATATTTAGTTATTTGAGATAAAATAAAGTTTTAAATAAATTAAAGAATAAAAAATGAAAAAAATAAAAAAAGTTAGTATCTTAGAGTTTAGAATAGTGCAAAAACTAAATTATTTTTGATAATCAATTATTGAAATAATTGATTATTGATATGATCAATTATAATTTAAATTAGTTTTATTTAGATAAATTTGTTAAAAATTGATTTAAAATAATTAACTTGGTTTGAATATTAAAAAATATTAAACTTTTTTTTTTTAGTAAATTAATTTTAGATCAAAAGACAATCCTAAATCTCTTTGATCTTAAGTTTTGTTATTAACAGGCATAGAGACTTTTGATCAATTGTATAAAGTTTTAAAAGGACTAAGACAAATCTTATATAAGGCGATTACTTCATTAAGACAATCTTGTTAATGGGTGAGACAAATCATTAGTCATAAATTTCATCATTTATGATTTCTAAATAAGAAACTGATTATGTATGAACAATTCCTTAATATATTAAATTTAAAGATATTGTCTTAATACCAACATTCTACAAAAAGAAAAGAAAGACATGTTTTGCACAAGAAAATAACAAGCAAATATCTACAAACACAAAAAACTATAGTTGAAGTTGTTTTATCACTACAACGTTCTGACACATGCATGGTTCTACTTACTTGGTGTCAAAAGGTGATAAGGAGCTTCTTTGATAAGAAAAAAGGTAACAATTTGGTGAAAGCATCTAATGCAAAAAATTATTATACCAACAAACACTTTTCTGTTCAAGAAATAATACATGAAGACAAACGAAGCAAATTATTAGAGAAAAGTTCAAAGAGTTACAACAGTCACCTTCAACAAAACTATATAAAAAAAAGTCTTAAGCTCAAAAAGAATAAAGATCGACATTTGTAAAAATTACATTATTTCTTTTTGAATAAAGTCTTTGTACGCAATTTATTGTATTACATCTTGATAAAAAGATGAAATAATATTGTAAAAATTTGTAACTTTAAATTATTGGATTTGAGCTTGAACATGCTTATTTAAAAAGAAAACTTATTGTTTGAACCTAAAGAGACTTAACTGTAAAAGAAAACTTGGTATTGAAGCTTGAAGAAACTTTTTGTGGAAAGAATACTTAAATAAATTGCTTGAAGAAGTCAGAAGTGTCTTGATAAAGAATACGTGTATCTTTGACAAGATAGTGAAACTTGATTTGATTGGATTAAGAACGAAACGTAATTACAATGGTTGAGACGAGTCGGTATAAACTCCTAAATTTATTCTTTACGGTTTAGGGTTTAGGGTTTAGGGTTTCACTATCACAATTACTATTTCACTACACACTATGAAGAGTGAGAATTTTTTAGTAACACTATTTAACCTCTTACAATGTTTCTTTTTTCTTTACAATTTAGAAAGTACAATGTCAAAAGAGAAATAAGCTTATAAAAAATAATCTACCAGCTCAAAGTTTCGGATGTTAAAAAACAATTTTTTTAAAATAAAATAGCTTTCTAAAATTTCAACAACATTTCCAAACATTTAGTAGACTTCATAAAAGATTTTTTCTTAGAAAAAAATTGAAATTTAGAGGGAAAAAAAAACTTTCTCAAACAATCTTATAAGTTAGCTTATTTTTATAAATTACTTGAGAGAAAAATAAGCTAGCTTATATATTTTTTTTTAAAGGAAGACAAATGATAAAATCACGATATCAAATGTTTATAGATCTCGTTTGTTTGAAGATCCGTTCAAAAAATCAAATGTACAGTATTTGTTGCATAACTGTGTTTATAATTGTTTGGTCTCAATATAGAATTTCATATAGATCATGCAAAGTACCATTTCATCTATTTAATACTTGTGAGGTCATATTTTGTTTGTGATAAGTATGAAAGGATTTCCCAAACTGTTTTTAGATTGATTCTTTTATTCAAACTAATGCTCAGTATGTATGACTAAATTCACTCTTCCAAAATAACATGTATAATATGACTAATATCCTCCCAACTTATACTTTTTTCTTTTCATATCGAGTAAAGCTAACTATAATCCATTGAGAAAAAAGTAGTTGAACATATGGTGGATGAATGCTTTTCTTAAGTATATAATTTTACACGACTTTCTAAGTGACAACAACAAAAACAATCATAAAAATGAATACAAAAGTATATTGAAAACAATTAATACAATAATCGTGGTATGTTATTTATTCTTGTATTAGGAGACACACTTTTTTGCTAGCCGTTTAATTATCATGATCTCAGCTTCGGGTCGGAATTCTTGTTCTGCGTAATCCGAGATGGAGGGGTGCCTACAAAAGATACTCTGACGCTCAAGTCAATAATGGATCGACGTACTAAATGTAGTAGTTGAATTGAATTATGTAATTCGTTGAGAGTCTATTTATATTAGTTGTATATGGGTCGTATTTAAAGAATGAGCCCTAGAAATTTAGGGGATTAAACCAATGTATATTAAGTAAAATAATCTTGCTTTGGTATGTGGTCGGGATTCATGATAGTCAAGCTTGCCAACCTCATCAACTAATTAGACCGAGATAGTTAATCATACGTTGGCTGACCCAACCGACTCGATCGTTTGGACGCTTTCAGGGACTCTCCGATATATTATTTAAATCATATAAAGATTTAGATTGATTAAAAGTTATGAACGATCCTTTTCAGGTATTTTAGATATATTCCCATATTTTTAATATTTCATGCATGTTGTGCTCATAAATGAGCATAGGATTTCTTTGGTTAATTATAAAATTGTGATCTTATGTTTATGCTTTTCCTGTTTCTAAAAAAACATATAACAACAATAAAGATTTTTATTTATTTATATTTTTTACAAATCTTTAAAAATAAGAAATAGATGGAAAACAAAGTGATAATTTTATAATTAAGAAGTAAAATTTCAAAATGATATTAGAAAATAAACGGCCCTAATTTTAATGTCGATAATAAATATATCAAAATAAAAGTATTTAATATCTTAAAAATATCACATGCTTGAAAATATAAAGCGTATTAAATAATTATTTATTATATGAAGAAAATAAGAAGATTAATAAAAAAAATTGTTTATTTACCTTTTTATCTTATAGTTTTGTAAATCTTACTTTTTAATATCTATAGCTAAAAAGGTTCTATTGTAGTATTTATATGGATTATTTTTTTAGTCTCTCTCATTTATTTTAATAAAAATTAAATAATAAAATTTGTACAACTATAAAGGTTAAAAAATAATATGTATAAAGATTAAAATGAAATATTTTATTATAAAAATTAAAAAGTAAAATTCATTAACATATAAAGATTAAAAAGATAATAAAATAAAAAGGATTAAATATGTTATTAATTTTTGAATTTTGTTGATTTTTATGTTTAATCCCTAAATAATTTTTTTTACTAATTTTAGTTTTTTTTTTTTAACTTTGTTGATTTTCACTTTTAGCTTTCAAACATTTTCTTTGATTAACATTTTAGTTCTTGACATTAAAATTTTGAGGGAATAACATTGATATTTCCTTTGCCTATACGACACAATCATTTCTTTAATTTTTTTTATTTTAAATAAAGACCTCTCCTAGTGTTAATTTTGTTTCACTTTAGTTAAGTTATAAAACTATAAAATTGCTCAAGTAAAAAATTAGTTAAATTATAAAACTAAAAAATTTTCAAGTAAAAAATAATAAACACTTGAATTCTCTTTCCTTCATTGATAGACTCCATCTTCACCACTCTCTTTTCTTCTTTTTCTTTTTGGTACCTCTATAGATACAACTCTTCTCTTTTGACAGGTGGCAGGCAGCTATAAAGGTAAGAAGCTGAATCCATATTTACCTCTCATCGCCGCCTTTCTTGGCCAAAAGAGAACTCAACGAATCAAATCAATCTTCTTCTCTTCTCAATCATTCCAAACCACACTTTTTTATTTTATTAAATTTTATAGACGTTGAAAATTCGGTCGCTATGAAATGCTCATATTTGGCCTCTCAAGGATTCTATTTCACAATACTTCACTTTTCAACATGTTTTGTCCTTAATTACACAATTTTTGGGAAACTTCCCAGAAGGTCACCCATCCCTATATTACTCCAAGTCAAGCACGCTTAACTGTGGAGTTCTTATGAGATAAGCTACAGAAAG